TAGGAACAATATTTTCAAATATGGTCAAGTTTCTTTCTTTGGCCTCTACCCAAATATCTTCATTTAATCTGGATGTAAAAATAGTATGCATGAACAAACTAGAGGTGGTAACCTACTACAGAAACCAAATTACCCATTTCTCTCTCTACCAAGAGAAACTATGTTTTACAAAAATTTGAGAAACTATCAAATATAAACGACAATATTAGTTATATATATGTTGATACATATATATCAATATATACGAGCATGTAGTTTGACTATGCATATAGCTATTGTTTCTTTTTAAATCTCAGAACTGAATTATTGAAACACTGCTATGTATTTAATAATTTCAATGAGTTTATATTTTAGTTAATGAGATTTTTTTTTTAATGTGTAAAACTGCCTGCACCTCCCCACTCTCTGTCCTGAACCATGTAGCCTTCTGAGATCATACCTTCATAGCTGACTTCTTGCTTAACAGTTGCTTCCAGACTACAGAACAAGCACACCATTGGAAGACTAGACCAATTTTCCCAAACCAGAAAATGATATCTAATAATTTTGAATTTCATCATTTTTCAGCATTGACTTTTCTACAGAAAAGAACTTCATTTAGGATTAGTGATTGACCATGCAATGTCCAGGATATGAACTTTTGTAAGTGAGTCTCCTTTTGGACCTATAAAATACCCATAGTCTTCCATCTGGCTTTAGTTTTGACTTCGTTCTATGTTTTTTATTGTTTGTAAATTTCTCATAACTATGAACTGCACTAAAAAGTCTGGCAGCTAAGATATTACCTATGAACTACTGACTAATCTACTTTTTTCAAGGGCATGACAATAAGAATGGGACTTCAAGGTCTATATCATTTTTGCTAATTCTGCCAATGTTCTGTTCTGTGCCTCTGCTTCCTTCTTTGTATTGTAAAGACAACATATATTTTCCGCTTTTATTCTAAGAAAGTACAACTATTTGACCACAAAATAGTTGAAGAAGTCTTGAGCTATTACTCAAAACACTGAATCATTATTTTCATGGAGTCAGTTTATGGCTTCTAAGTTGTAATCACATGTCCTGTCTTCTGCAGCTGGACCACTGTAAAAACTGAATGCCCCAACTGTTCACTGCTAGTGGCATAATTGCTCTCCAGTCCTTTCCTCTCAGAATAATGAGAGTTAACTTGCACATGTTTAGAAAGAGGATTTTTCTAACCTGGTTTGTTTAGAGAGAATCCGGCTAGGGAGCAATTTCACATGTAGCTACACTAGCAAATGGATGGGGTAAACTATTCTCCCCAACCCAGTGATCTCTGGTGGATCATAGAAGAGCTGGCAAAGTTACCTCTTCTCTCAGCTTAGCTGGAATTAAACCAGGGTTGGAGACTCACAGCTGAGCTGTTCTTTACAGAAAAAGTAATGTCATTCAAATCAATAGAGCCACTAGTCACATGCATCTCTTTGAGTAGCATGTGCAGTATGTGACACTCACTGTTTTTGACAAAAATAATTTATTTTCATGTAAAAGGCATGTGAAGTTAGGTGTTCCCAGAAGAGAAAACTTACAGGCTCACTAACCACATACAGGTTGACACCAAAAACAGTAAATTAGTTCCATGAGATAGAAAAAACAAGCCTAAAATCTGAAGCACTGAATTCCTATGGAGCAAACACAATCCAGAATGTTCCTCTATGCCATAAAGTTTTTTTGAGGATCAGTTCTAAAGATAAGAGAACAGCTCCTCTGCTAAAACATTAATCCTGTGACCGACTGATGAAACTGGTGACCAAATTGTCACTAACATTTCATTGATATGTATCTACTCACTAGAAACTCAATTTATTGCATGGAGGCCAGAGGATCTTGCCAGGTCTTAATGCCTTTCAGCCATTACTGGCAATACTGTGAAAATGGTCAATACTGACAAAAATGTGAAAGGTGGTGTTATCAAATTACCTCTGCGGCTTCAGGGTTCCTTGACTTCCTGTGCTCTATTAATGCATCCACTGAATGAAGGCATAAACAGTGCATTTTTCTCTGCCCATTGCTTTCTAATTTGCTATTTGGAAACATTATTAGTCAAAATGAAGGTATTGCAAACAATCACACCCACTTTGCAGCACTAATAAACAACTGTTTTTCTCTTGTTTCTCCAGTGGAGCAAACAATAAGCTTTTTCTTGAAAGTTACAAGGAAAAAGTTGTGAGGTTTGCAGGGGGGTTGTTCGTTTGTTTGGTTGTTGAGGTTATGTTGGTTGGTTGGCTGGTTGGGGAAATCATCTGACAATAGTAATTTATTTTGAGTAGATACATCTACCCTACCATTCAAAAACTCCTCTATTTACAGAAAATGTTAAAATATTTTAACACTTCCATCCTGTTGAGGGCTCTTTCAGGACAGATGGAAGTCTTAGACCACCCCAAAGCATAAAACTCCAGTTTTGTGCCAGCTTTACAAATCTCTTGCATGGTGGTTAATTAATGAACATTGGAACTCGAACCTCGATAAAATACTCTGGAATCTGTTACAACCATTACCTTTTTCTATTCTGTTACTTTTCTTAGTCCTTGCTACTAAGCTTCCTGTTTTTCCTCCTCTGAAGGAAAAAAGGGGGGAACAGCGTTATACATGATTCTTTAAAGTTACAAGTGTCAAGTTTTTAAAGAAGAAATTTTTATTGTCATAGATTTAATTAATTTTCCCAAGGTTTTTCTGCATGTGTGTTTTACTAACCATTTTCCCATTCTGCCATATACTGAGTTTTCTAGCTTTAATTGAAACAAAATGCACTTTTTGCCTAGAGAACCTGTGGAGATATTCAAAAGCCATCTGGACATGGTCCTGGACAAACAGTGCTAGGTGGCACTGCTTGGACAGAAGGTTTGGACAAGATGACCTCCCTCCTAACCTTGACCAGTGTGTGATTCTTGGAAATTAGACAGCTAAATTAACAGGGATGCTCGACTACACACCTATCATAGGTCTTCATTCACTCATTAAGAAAATACACAGTCGAGTGCTAACGAAGTCAATATGTGGCAAGTCTGTAACAGCTGCCCTTAACTTTCACTGATAATTGTTCTCATTTAAATGGCATAATACTCAATATACTATTGCTGAATATAGTAATTCATACTATGAAATTCATAATATGGTGAAATTCATGCCTTGGGGGCTACGATGTGACTGAGTTTTAGCCAGATAAACTGAACTGTGACCTAATGGGGTATTACAGGCCTTTACACCTTTCAGATGCATGGGTCACAATCTCAGTCTGCATAAACATCTATGTAATTATATTACAAGCCATTCTTGCATATATTGAGATCATTCCAAAAGACAGTTAAAACAAAATCAATATGAGCATGATTCAATAGCCTTTAAAACAAGAAAACTATGATTTCACTCAGTCTTCTTGTCTGTAAGAGACACAGAATTGCATTCCACGCTTGTAATATATTGTCCATAATTATTAATCACATTAATAACCAGCAGATTTCTAATATTATATCTTTAAAATTATGTATTTTTTACATGGATTGCTTTACAAATCAAATTTCGTCAGCCCTCTAGACCAATAGCATTCAGAATCCAGGAATCTAAAATATGATGCAATATGCATATAATCACAATACATATCTCTGTGGTTATCTCTCATGTATCCATCTTAATTATACATCATATGTAATATTTATAAATATTTAACCATACTTTTGTATCATACAAACATCATAGATATCTACTGTACAAATATGATGGATATATCCTTATATGTTAATTTAGACTGGTAATGGAAATAATGGATTTTGTTCTATTTGAGTAAGTGAACACTTAGCCTTACAAAATAGATGCCTGAGAGAATCCTGAAACAATTAAAGAGCTTCATTTCATATATGTCCTAACAAGAATAAAAATATTTCATTATTAAAGTATAAACCTTTTTAGTTCTATTTTTCTAGGACTGTTTTACAATTCAGAACTTTTTTCTGTGAGAATGTCAAATATAGAGCATTTAAGAAAACATTTACAATCACAGAAGGTGAAGTTTTCCACAGAATCACATAAAGCTAATTTACTTCTTTCACACAAAGTACAGAAACCTGAAGGGGAACTACGAAATAGAGTGAGAATTTCTCAGAGCAGGCATAAATCCCGTATTTTCAATAAACTTCTAAGCATGCTACCATTGCCTATAAAAGTAAAGCAACAAATCTGCAACTAAAATTTTCAAAGATTTTAGGCATGTCCATTTCAAAAACTGGAAGAATCTAGATTATGAAGCGCCCCTATAAAGTTAGTAGCATGTAATATTACGCTATTAATCAGAAATAGTCTTACAGAATGTAAAAATTCCCTTTAAAATTCAACAGCTTACGGAATTTTTCAAATAAGAAACTATACATATATTTATGACCATACTCATAAAGCAAACCTGTCCATTTTTCTGTTAAACATACTTTTCTTTTGATTGTCTATGTCAACTAATCTGCAAGCAATACTTTATACAACACTGTGTTTCAAAAATGCCCTTATAAAGAGGATTTTCCTGTTTATACATTAGGATAGTTTCCAATATAATCATGATCACAACCCCCATTTCATCTATACATTTTTAGGTATATTTCTAAAGAAGGAAAGAAAAGATGACGGAGCTGCTGACTTGCATCTTAGTTTCCCAAGTCAAACAGTAGCCCTTGAAAACTTGCCAGCTGCCTTTGATGGCCAGATCATGCTTGCAGGTAGCTAACCTCAGTATTTGTAGTATTTAAAGCATTTCCTACAATAAACATAAGCAAGTACAAATAAATACTATGGTATGAAGGCGCCTGTATTTTTTTAGCTTAGGAAAAATCGAATATTTTATTTTGCCAACACTATGATTAGGCTTCAACATACCAGACTAAATTAATTTCATATCCTTCTACCTCTTTGGGTTCACCATCACTACGTCCATACATCAACAACAAAAAAATCAGTTAACTGTGTTTGAAATCATGCTTTGCTGTATTTCCTACCTGAAGAATATAGCCTCGAACATAGTCTCGAAGTGTCCAGCCTAAGCCATGTAGAATATGCAACACCTCCTCTTGCTTCAGTACACTGAAGAGTCGGTCAAGCAGTATCTTCAGTCTCACAGGCACAGCCTGAGTACCGTAGAGCATCAGGCTGCTGATGTCAAACACAACGTTGGACTGCACAATCTCCACTTGGGTTGGGTGGTAGAGGTGTTGAGTACTAAGTTTGTCCAAGGCTGAAAGAAAAGGGGTCAAGTATAAGGAAAGAGCAAAGAAAAGACAAGAAACCATTCCGAAGAGTCAACACCACATTTGGCAGGTGCACTTATTTTCCAGAGAAGTATCACCTGTATGATTCATAGAAACACAGAGTCACAGATTAGTTTGTGTTGGAAGGGACCTTTAAAGGTCAGCTAAGTCCACTCCCCTACCATGGGCAGGGACATCTTCAACTAGATCAGGTTGCTCAAAGTCTCATCCTACTTGATCTTGAATATTTTCATATGGATGGGGCATCTGCAGCCTCACTGGGCAACTACTCCAAAGCCTCAACGTTTCTGGAAAAATCTTCTTTATATCTAACCTAAATATACTCTCCTCTTTTCAGCTTAAAGCCATCACCTCTTGTCCAATCAATACATGCCCTTGTCAAAAGTCTCTTCCCAGCCTTTTGGTAGGCCCCCTTTCAGTACTGAAAGCCCACTAAGGTTGCCAAGGAATATTACCCAGGCTTTTTTTCTACTTTTTCCCTGGCGGAAGGATCCCAACTCTCCCAGCCTTTCCTCACAGGACAGGTCCCCCATCCCTCTGATCACCTTGCTGGTCTCCTCTGGACTTGCTCCAGCAGGTGCACACCTTTCCTTTGCTGAGAACCCCAGAGCTGGGGTCCTCCTACTCCTGGTGCTGTCTCACCAGAGGGGAGGATCATCTACCACACCCTGCTGGCAATGCTGCTTTTGATGCAGCTGAGGGTATGGTTGGCTTTCTGGGCTGCAGGTGCACATTGTTGAGTCATGGTCAGCTTTCCATCCACTGAAGTTCCCCAGGTCCTTCTTGGAAGTGCTACTCTCAAGGAGTTCATCTCTCAGTGTCATGCTTGGGATTGTCCTGACCCAGGTGCAGCACCTTGGCCTTGTTGAACCTCTTGAGGTCGGTATGGATCCACCACCCCAAGCTTGTCCAGATCCCCTTGTATGGCATCCTGTCCTTCTGGTGTGTCAACTGCACTACTCAGCTTGGTGTCATCTGCAAACTTGTTGATGTCCTTACTATGTCACTGAAGAAGATATTAAACAGTACTGGTCCCAGTATGGACTCCTGATAGATGCCAGTCATCATTAAGTCATCACCTTTTTCACAGATGCAGTCCAAAACAGCCTTAGTTTCCAAAGGTCACAAGTAATTTTAATTGCTGTGGCAGAAGGGTTCTCAGGAGAGACTCAGACACGACAATTCTTATCATTCAAGAGAAATTTATGATTAACTAATGACCAAGACTGAAGGAATGCTGAATTGAATGGGACTGTTAAAGGTTTGATACTTAATCTCTAGAGGAAAAATTAAAACAGATACTCTCTAAACTCCAGTCTTTTAAACATGTTAAAACTAAGGCCCCTGATTTACCAAAAATTTGATCATGAGTTCACTGATACTAGAATTGGCCAGTTCTTTTCACCTGGCTTTACAAATTCCATGATATTCACTGTGATTTGAATAATTTAGAGATAAGGGAAATTTGCAGGATGAAGGTAATTCTTATCCCCTTGTGAAATTAAAAAAGATGGAATTGCATATGACATAATGCATTTTACTGAGTATCAATGTTTAAATTTAATTTTATTTCTACTTTATGAATTATGCTGCAGCACCTAAGCTTCTCACTGCTTTTTAAATCAAAATTTGTGAGCATTTAAAATAATCTTATAGGGACTTTTCCTGTACTTGGTTTCTTCTCGTCTTATGGTCACTAGAGAGTTCATGTACTCTTGATAAATTGCTTTCTCACATCCAGAGCTCAAAGGCCCTTATCATTTACTTGCTGGCTTCATTCAACACATTTACTCCAAGGACTACTATTGTCAGAGAGTTCCGGTTTCCTCATACTTCATTTCTTGCAACTGAATTGTCTGATCTTTCCTACTCTAGTGGCTAAGTCAACTTTGAATAAATAACTTGAAATATTAATTTAACATTCAAACAAATTAAGAAATTGGCAAGCCTAGGGACTTCAGTCCTATGTCTCTCCATAGAACACTTATACTGCAGGACATGAAGAGTGGGATTTTTTCTTCCAAAAGCTCTTCTTCCAAAGTACTTCACCTAAGTAGGCTTCATGATGTGGGACTGATTTTTTTACCAGGTCTAATAAATGAGATTTGATTGAAGCTTAAACAGGTCAAAGCCTGTCCAGCCTTTCCCTCCCCAACATTTTATGTATGTTCTTTTACTAAGATGGTTATTTTGCTACTCCCATAATAGATGTGTCATGAAAGTTCTTGGCTAGAAAAGCCAAGAAAATTGATATTTTTATTCTGCAGATTGGGCAGTATGTGTAGTGATATGTACATACACGTACCTGAGGGACTGATCAAACATTTAGGAGTAAAACAGAGGTTTTTTTTTTTCTAATACTAGCATTATGCACAATAGGAATGGTGTAAAGAACACTAGTTTCAAATAGATAGCCTGTAAGAACACCTTCTAACAGGCTATTGAAATCATTGAGCAGATCTGGATCACCCTGAGCTTTTCAACTTCAGTCTTACAGAATGAGAATAGGGTCCAAAGATACTACCTGGATTTTCCAAGATTTTGCAAATTTAGACCAGAACCAAAACATGAATGGATATTTTCTGAATATTTGAAGATTTTTAATGACTGAATCATACTGTATTTACTGTATATATCCTAATACTTGGTTTTGTTTCTCTCTTCTTAACAGTAAATAGCATGCCTGCAGTGAGGAAAAACAAGTTCTTCCATCTAAAGACTTGTCACGCTGAGGATGTTAAGATCATTATTCTAAATGGTATAAGTGAGAACGACTTAAGACATCTTTATATAAGGATTATTGGGTGGATTACAGATATAATAGTTTTTAATTTCTCTAACAATGAGATTACAAAACTCTGTGGACATATACCCATTTCATGTTAAGGTGACCACTCTGAGGATAATATCTTTTGGAAAGGTTGAGGTGGAATGGAAGAGGGGAAAAAGAAATGAAGTTTTTTCAATAACTAAGCACACTCTTTGACCAGCTGATAGAAATTTTTGCAATCTAACCTATACTATTCCATTCAACTGCAATATTCATTCTTAGTAGCATTCTCTACAGACATCTGCTTCTCAACACACATACACACACACAGAAAAAAAAATAATTAGCATGATTTCGGAACAACATTCCAAGTGAAAATGACACTACCTCCACTTTCGTTTTGTTGCCTTATTATCCTATTATATAATAAACAAGCAGTGAATTTTATCCTTCTCAAGGGTAAGTCAAGATATGCAGTAAAAGATGGAATTTATAACACAACAAAATATACATTATTGCATGGGTGCATAAGAACATTTGCAGGCAAAAGACAAACCTCCTGCTAGACGAAAATAAAAGGGATGTAAATGAAACAAAAAGAAACACAGTTGTATTCATATGAGAAATAACAGTATTGTAAGATTCTGAAATTCTTTCTGAACATTAACTATTGATATCCCTTTAACTTACCAGAAGAATGAAAATTCTCACTCTCATTTTAAGTTACAAAAAATTTTGTATTTCTTTAAAAGGTTGCTAAAGATGTTGATAGAGGATGCTGATAGAGAGAATTTTTGTAGTATTTCTCATTTCTCCTCTGGTACCCTTAGTTAGCTAATGCCAGTGCTCTATGTGGATTCAAGAAGCCATTTATGTTGATAGACACTTTTTTCAGTAAGAGGTAAGGCAGGACCTATCTCATTGCTTTTCTGTATGGAAAGAATTATTAGCTTTAGCCTTCATGACAAATTTCTGATTCTTGTCAAATCTCTGAGTAAATTGTTTTATTCTGCTGTGCTGAATTGCCCACATAATTTCATGTGGATAATGCATTCATCATCACTTTCTGTTCAAAACTATTGGTTTAAATTATACATGCTAATGAACAGTGAACTGTTTTACAGGTGAACAACAGTATCTGCAGTAGTTTATGATTTCATAAGCACTTAGGAAGTTTCAAGATTAAATATGCTATGCAAAAAAATGTGCTCTATCATACCTGAAAAATAACATAAACAGATGTGTCTTTATTAAGAAGTTATCAGTGATTGAATATCACAAAGCACACATTAGAAGTCCCTTCTTGGTGGAGCATGAGGTATTACTCATACTTTGTACAGTTCCAGTGGGATCAAAAGTTCACCCATATGTGTTTGAGACATATTAGTTGTAACTTGCACAATCTTTTCCAAAACCGTGACTATGATGGGATCAGTTATGTACTTAAACTAAGAAAGGTACCTTTTCTTAACAGTGCAATTTCATTCTCAGCACTGCCCTGACAGTCAGTCTGGTATTTGTTAATTCAGTATATGTGAAATGGTGTTCTCTGATACAGGGAGATCTAACTAATCTTAAAATCACATACCTGCTGAGCAATCAACATTTTCATGGGACGGCCTAAGAATTCCCTTGTGTTTTACTCTGACAGCACTCAGTCAAGTAACATTTCTGTGGTGAATTCCCAATTGCAAGTACTAGTTTCAGAAAATTAAACTGTGAGGGGGCCAGAAAGGATTTTTTTGTATAGAGGACATTAAAGAAGATTGCCTTCAACAATGAAAAATTACTAACTGCATAATTAGTACAGGAATTAGGAACCTTTCAGCACTGTTTTTCCAACTCTGAAGTATCAAGTATGTACCATAATAATTGAGAACATTTTAGCTGGAAGGGGCCAAAAATGACCATCTAATCCAGCTACCTGAGCACTCCAAGACTGGTCATCAGTTAAACCATATTGAGGGGGTTGTCCAAATGCCTCTGGAACAGCGAGTGTCTTGGGGCATGGAGCACCCCTTTAGGAAGTCCATGGTTTGACCACCCCTCCCATTAAAGAAGTGTTTCCTAATGTCAAGCCTGAACCTCCCCATGTTTGCTTATACACTCTTTAGCCTCCTGAACATTAAACAAATTTTTAAACACAGATTTTAGAAAGATTCTGCTCAGTATAATCTGAAATATCAAAAGAGCTTT